CAATTAAGAAGATGGCAGTGATATTATTTTGTAATAGTTCTTATATTACAGGCTTATTTGTTTTCCTTGCAATTACCATTCTAGAAGTGGCCTAGATTGGCACCTCTCAGCTTACAAAAGCATACCTGAATGCTGGTTGGTGGTGTAACTTTTTAAAGTTAACTTTGGAAATACTGCTCTTAAAATATAGCTAATAATGAGGAATGATAAAAGTCTGGTCATGACCCAAAACTGTTAGTATAATATAATGTAAATAGCTGGCACTGACTTAAGATGATTCAAACAAAACTTTGTATAAACGAAGAATTTTTTTGTTCTATTTTGCAGACATTAAAAAATGGCCCAGGAGTTATGCAGGTTCTGGGTTTGGTTCTAGCTTTTGGCAACTACATGAATAGTGGAAATAACACTCGGGGACAGGCAGATGGTTTTGGATTAGACATTCTTCCGAAGTTGAAAGATGTCAAAAGCAGTGTAAGTATTTTGTGTGCGTGGGAATAGGCACATTTAGGATTAGATGTTTTGTTTGACTGTAAACCAGTTATAATAAATATTTCTTTATGTTCTAAGGTCTAAAGTTTCTTAATGTTCTTAGCTAGATGAAAGCAATGGCCATCAGATATTTGTGATTCAGTGAATGATGTTTCCTAAAGTAAGTGATTTTGAATTCTATGTCTAATGAAAAATTACAGTATTTTAAAATTAATTTTTTTACTCGATCTTTATGTCTACTGATATGTATCCATCTGGAATATGAGGGCTAATTATTTTCTATGAATAGGATGGCATATCTCTTATTTTCTTATTTTCTTCTTCACCGTGTTAAGCAATGGAGGCCAATAGGCCCATGTTTTGAAAACAAAGATGAGTAAACATAGTTTATAGATAAAATATAAAAAATGATCATTCTCTTTCTGATACTGGTATATATGGGAATGTCTGAGCCCTTTTGCAGACCTAACTATTTTTGGGTCCTACTTCTACAGTTGTGTTTGTTTGAAATTGATATCAAAGAGATTATGAGAGTGCCCATAGAAATATAAGGTTAGAGATGATGGTCAGAGTCCCAGATTCAAGTTCGAGATGATAAGGTTAGAAAATAAAAGAGCTATGTTTCTCTGATAAAAGAATCATCACACGGAACAGTATGTGAAGGAAATTAGTAAGTTTCATAATTGGCTTATAGAAATAAAAATATATAGCATTGTCCTCCTTAGATAATGAAATAATCTCCGTCGTAAGAGAGAGGGACTTGTTTTGGTCTTTTCTGTCTGTCAGCAATCTGTTTATTCCTTCATATGCAGATGCTCTTCAACTTACTATGGAGTTATATCC